TAGAAAAGTTTACAACTACAACCATCAGCCGACTCGATAAAAGAAAGTAAGAGAAAAACTATACAAAAAATAAATAAATAAAGAGAAAAAATCTATATATATATATATATATAATTTAATTTTACCTAATAAATAAAACCTAATAAATTTTATCTAATAAATAACCTAATAAATTTTTCCTAATAAATACACAAACTTTCCATATAACTAAAAATAAATAGTTACTTTTACAAATACAAATCTAAATGTTATTATTATTATTATTATTATTATTATTATTATTATTATTATATTATTATTATTATTATTATTATTATTATTATTATTATTATTATTATTATTATTATTATTGTGGTGTTGTTGTTTTAATAAAATAATAACTACGCTACTATAATTGAAGACAAAATAATCAAACCAAAATTTTACAATGCCATACACATCAGGTAAGGGTATTAATGTAAGCATTGTTTGTTTAAATACATTTTTTATCTATGGAATGAAAAAACGGACAACTACGTTAGCTCCTAATAAATTTTACTCCTATTAATGATACAATATTTCATTAGTTTGTTTTTTTTATTAATTAAGACAAAAATTGTTACATTTTATATTAGTTGAGTAATAATTATATTTTCTTTTAAATTATATAATAATAATTATTAAAGTTAGTAATTATATATTACACTAAATGATGTATGAATATTACATAAACATAAAAGATTATATTGTAAAAACTTTTTGTTTAAGTTACTTATTCTGAAATAAATATCATATTTTTTATCTGATTGAACGATTTTTTTTAAATATTTTTTTTTAAATGTAATAGAAAAATTTCTTTAAATTGCATAAGCAATTGTTATAATATATTTAATATTTTTTTAGATAATTAATTGGTCATCATCCCTCAAAATTACAAAATTATAGTATTTATTACATTTTATGCAATCAATATAGTGATTCTTATGTGTACTATTTACTTTAATTATCTAACTTATAATTTTAATATTATATGATTAAATATAACTTATAATACTCTATGTATAAAACACAATACTATTATCTAACTTATAATTTAAAAATTATATACATTTAAATAACTTATAATATTTATTTAAAATTGTGCAAATCAACTTGAAAGTTGCGGATTTTATTATTTAAATACAAAAAAATTAAGTGGACAAAAAAAAAAAACATGTGGATCAAAACAAAACAGACGTATTCTCATTATACGTTTTAAATTTAAAAACGTATTCCGAGAATACGTTTTCAATACAAAACGTATTCTCATACACCTTTTTACAGCAAATTAAATTCTTAAATATGATTAACTTAATAACATTAATATAAAACGTGATTAAGAAAATTAAATTTATTTAAAACGTATTGTCATAATACGTCTTACATGAAACGTATTTTCGAAAAACGTTTTAAATTGTAAACCGTATTTTCAGTATACGTTTTCCTTTTTTAATTAAATTTTATATACAAATTTAGTAAAATTTATGAATTTGTTTTTTTTTTTATATTGAAAACGTATTTTCATAATACGTTTTTTTATATTGAAAACGTATTATGAGAATACGTTTTAAGAAAACGTATCATGACAATACGTTTTACTGTACAGAAACAACAATTTTACAATAGAAATAAAATAGACCACCTGTTTCTCGATCTCGATTCCACAACCAAATTCAACAACCAAATATATCAATTCAACAACCAAATATATCAATTCCACAAACAAAATTGAAGCACAATAATTTATTTAAAATACCAATATGTGTGAATTTAGTTACACAAAAGTGAAGAAAAAAAAATGTCCATAAATTTCCTAATAGTTGATAGGAGT